CGTCCACAGGAACATGATCGAGGAATTTTTTCTTCCAAAGACTTCAAAGAAAATGAACCGTTAGGAACGTGTGGTTCAGCAAGATGAGCCGCAGCACACACAGCACGAGACACAATGAATTTGTTGCGGAACATTCCCGACGCCTCATCCTCTCTCAGAGGCGATGCTCCATTGCCGGCACGCTTCAGATTTGACGTCCATGCGATTTCTTTTTATGGGGTTATTTTGAAATCCCTGGTTTTATGTGATCGAACCACCCGACCATAGCACACCTCAAGAACAACATTCTCGACGCCATTGCCAACATACGATTGATATGCTGCAAAGAGTGGTTACGAATTTCAAAAAATCAACTTCATCAGTTGTATGCGCAATGGAGGTCGCCATTTATCCGATGTCATTTTCAAGACTGCATGAAAAAAAATGGGATATTGTATTCTCAAATAAAAAAAAATAAAAACAATAAACTGAAGTATTGTGTTTAGTGACCTTTCAAATAAGTAAGTTTCTCTGGCGCACCCTGTACTACACCCGCAAAGTTTTTCTTGATAGCCGGGGAGTGGCGGGGAGAGGAGGGCTCTAAATCACGTCACTACTTAAAGGGCGTACCAACTGTGGGCATGAAACTTAACGCCCCAAGCGGTGCCAGTAAAAAATACAACGATTGTTTGAAGGTACGATTGTGTTGTTGGCAGCATTGTAAATTGGTACCGTGCCCGCTCGAATTGAACTTAACTATTTCAACGGGCCGTGCTATTTAGCGCTGAGAGACTAGGAGCTCGTGCTATCAAGAAAACTGCGCGTGTAGATACTTTTGAGCCTTCCAATGTGTCGCCTCCTCCATCGTCCACACACATCAGCATTAATGAATCTCACCAGCACTCGTTGCTGTTGCGTTCTTGACTTGAAATAACCCCTCTGCTGCTTTCCCCTCCACACGCTCCACAAAAGAAGTCTTCTCCCTTGGGACACCTATGCCGCCGCCTCATGAACAGAAATCTTTTCTACGTGACGTTTGTTTTGATGGCCCAAACGATTCATGCACACTCGGCATCGGCTCGGAGAGACGGCCAAAGGGGACAGGTTGATTCTCTATTAAAATTACTTCAATGCACGAATTATTCAACTTGTATAACATTCCACCGCTAAAAACACACCATCTCTATCTTGGGGACCGAACTCGCACCTTTTGTATCTGCTCGCATGGACTCGCACAGACATGAATTTGCGAACGACCAATAGGAAGATTCAGTACGTTGTAAATGTGGCCTGTCAACCACTTCCACCACTGATCAGAACTTCACAATCAAATAACTCCCTTTACGACAGCACTCACTGTTGACGTTGGTCCTTTGCCAAAAAACAATCCGCCCAGCACTCACAAAAGCTCGAAAGATCAGAAACCGTTATCGATGGAACGGTAGCCAAGGCATTTTGTTACCCCTGAGTCAATTACCAAACGGTTCATTCTCGCATTCCGCGCCTTGGCCACATCCGTCACAAATGGCAAAAGCACTTTAGTATCCACCACCAGCACCACGCAACGGTACTGTATTTGGCCTTGGTTCTTGCTTCTTGCCTTCTTGCAATATTTTTCACATGTCCCTTGTAGCATCGCGCGTAAACCACTTAAGCACTTTCTTTCTTCATGTCACTTGTTTCCCGGAGGAAACACGCGTTTGAATTTGCACACTTGCATATTACAATATACTAGAATATAGAATATACTACTTAGACTGGTGAAGCGCCTCAATCTTTGAAAGCAAAATTTGAAGCCGTTGTTTTTGCCCGTTATAGCAGCGCCCCTTGGAAACAAAGAATTCTAACATTAAGTTGGCACGGAATGGGGGGCGTGTCGGTCGCGTGTAATATTAGGTTCGCGTGTAATATAAATCCTCTTATTGTTATTCTATTATCAAAAAACGAATCATTTAAAAACGGAATGCAATATGTTATGAGAACGAATTGAAGAAAACATTTTAAATACATTGTTGCTTCCCAGCAATTCGAGATTGTCATTAAGAAAGGAAGCTATTAAAATGGTACTGTAGTTGACATTAAAACCTGAAAGCGAATGTAATTGCCAATTCCGTTAAAACGAAAAACAATAAAGAATAAGTTGTGATACGAGCAACACCACGTCGATCAGTATAGAAGTTGAATACACCGCCGTTTTGACTTCAAAAACATGGCAGCCTCTGTTGGCGAGCTTCATCAGAGCACTGGAAAACTATAGGGGACAGCCACTCTCTGTAGTATATTCTAGATCGTTGCGTTGTTTTTATTACTCATATTTAGGTATTACAGCAGAGGCACATTATTCATCATGTCCCTGCCCTTACATATTGCGACATAATAAGTGTTAGACGAATTCTCACTTTCTTGAAGGAACTTCACGTGTCACGAGAAGGAATTTTGAAAAACTAGTTTTCCAATATAGCTTTTTTTATGCCAAAAAGTAGATTTTCAACTTCTTAAGAATGCTGGTTGTATCACCTAAGAACGTACATTTCTTCTGCAATTATAGATTTTTCATATATATAATACTTAATTCAAATTCAAATAACAATAGTATTTGATATTATGCTTAGCTATTGTTCTTACTAACTCGCCAGAACAACGCACACGTCTGGATTGGATTTTCCTCTGTTTAATACACTTGACTCAAAGCAGGGCTGCTTCTGTTTCAGCAAGACCCTGGCAGAGTGTTAGTAATTATAAATAAAACTTTCTTGTTCGTCAGAAGATTTACCCATTTCAGGCTGTTATGGTGTGTTTCTGCGATTCAATTTACCAAAAGTCTTCACGGGTGCATCATGGTTTGGACGTCGCCATGCGCCGTTTCATTGACGGTCCTGGACAGCGGGGCTGCCTTTAATATATTCCGCACGTTTTATTGAGCTCCGCAATATCTACCCCTACTTCCTTTCCCAAACATAAGTTAAATTTTAAGAATAATGATAACAACCGAGCGTTGTGACAAAAAAAAATATGGCGTAACGAAGAAATGTTCGCCCTCGTATATTTAGAAACTATGTGTTTGCATCGAAAAGTGAAACTACAAAATTCGACGTTAAAAAAATTCCTTTTTGTCAAAATAATCAAACGTCCTCTCGCATTCTAGCGAAGCAGGGCTCAAGAAAAAACGTGCGCGGATAAATACGTTGCGGACGATGAACAAACAATTGTTTTAAAATGTTAATTTATGTGTTGCCCCACGTTAAAAATTTGGGCATATATAACAACCAAAAAATGAGTGTAAAAAAAAGTACATCGGTATTTTTTTTAAAAGTTTAAATTTAAGTGGCTATCGAAAGTAGAAAAAATTGCCATTTTAAAAAATTAAAATATTTTTTTAAATATTTATATAACATATTTTTACCAAAAAAATTTAATATTTACATTCACATGAAAAAAGTATATCTTTTTAAAGGTTAAATTTTAACAGTGTAATTTTGATTTTGTGTAATTAAAACGGCAAAAAAAATTTTTAAAACACTAGCGCGGCGCATGATTCTTGGGAAAAGGTAAATGGTCTTAAATTTTATTTCTTGAAAAGTGATTAGGAAAAAAAAACAGAAAAAAAAACTGGACAAAACTAGTTTCTCAACCTTAGAAATCATAAAAAAAATTCAAGTCGCTAAAAAAATAGTGATGTTTTGTGAGTGTGAGATTTTTTGATGTGGGAAGACCTATCTTCTTCTT